CAGTGACGGTGTTCAATGCCCATATTTAATGCCCACAAACTCTAAATTCAATATAAAACTAAATCTCAAAAAATAAAAAAAGGAAGAATGAGGGGGACGAATGGGCAATAACGAAGGTGAGTTGGAGTGCCTTCATGCTGCTGGATGGCGGCATTGGTTGGATGGAGATGGAGGTGCGCAGATGAGTAATTAGTACATTACTCATTAGTCATTAAGATTAGTTTGTTTCAATGTTACATAGTAGAAGTCTAGAAGGTTATAATGGGTTTGGAAAATTAGGTCTTTATTTTTGTATTTTAGTATCTGTAACCAACATAATTACATAAGTATTAATTTTGGGCTTCAAACATGTAATGAACTTTTTATTTTAGAATTTATAGTAATTGTTGGGTAGGAAGTCGGTACAGTATTACACCGGTATACCGCGGTATTTGAAAACATTTACCGTTGCCGTACCGAAATATATCGGTACGATATGATACCGTACCGAAAATGACGGTATACCAATATTCCGGTATTTTCCGGTTTTTTTCGGTACGGTAAGTGCGGTATACCGATTTTTCGGTATTTTTGCCCACCCCTAAATGGGACGGAGGGAGTATTTTTTGTAGTGAACAACTAAGACTATTTATAAAAAGCGAATGATTGATTAATGGTTTCACTTTGTTTTAACTACGTACACTATTAGTCTCCAATGGAGTATAAAAACTCAACTTAGTAGTTTAGAGTAAAGTTGTATAAGTCACATTAATAGGAGCAGATTGTTCCTGAGTTAGACATGGACCAAAACGAAAATTGCACAAATATAGGGATGATAAAGAATTTTTCAGAGATATAATGAGTCATAATTGCTATATTGAAGATTAATAATTTAGTAAAAGTGGCTGCATTTAAATATACCGTTGACACTGTTGATGTCAATGTTACCGTCGCATATACGGAGTATATGAATTCTCACGACTTTTATTTTTCAACGACTAGTTTTAACATTAAAAAAAATTTAATGGTATAGTAGTGGGCAAAGGTGGTTTTTCATGTTTCCCGTTTTTTATTTAATTCTATCAATTTCTTTTTGGTGAGAGAATTCTCTAAATAGGAGTAAAAACGTTTTGAAATTCCAAAATAGGAGTATCATGTTTTTTATTCCTTTAATAAGAGTAATCATATCTGCCAAGTTTGGAAGAAAATGCCATGTTTAAAAGTCTTGTAATGCCAAACTTGGCAGAAATTTACTTCTATTCAGGGAATAAAAAACAGGATACTTCTATTTTACAATTTCAAAACATTTCTACTCCTATTTAGGTCAATTTCTGTTCTTTTTATCACTTGCAAGGGTGGGCACTAAAAGTGGATGAGAGGGGAGGCAGCACGTACTTATGTACTAGATCTTGGGGGTAACATTTTAAAAAATCGTGTTTTTAATTTTTTTTATCTTCATCACAAAATATGGGATATATCGTTATTTCTTAAAGTATTTATAAATAATGTAATTTTTTGTGGCTAATAAAGAACTAATAATGTCATACTCCGTATATACATCTTTGTATTTTATGTTAAATTAGTAAAATTAGCCCTTAATAGGACTAAAATTAGCCAAAAATTCAACAATAGGAGCAGTGGCATATCCCAGATATTCGGTGAGTGAGGGCAAACTTGCACTACATTTTAGTCTCATATTTCACAAATATCAAATCACATTATTAATATTGTTTGATTAAATTTAGTTTAAAATATATATGTACAAGTATGAATAAAAAGAAGATTAATTTATATTACGAGTGGGCAAAGATGCAATTGCGGATAGAATTTGAGAAAAATACCTAAATATAAGTTAAACATAACAAAATTTAGTAATCTTTTTAGCATTTCATTCTTTTAATATGAAAGAAAACACTCTTAATCCTATACGTAGTAATTAACTTACTATATTAAAATAAAATCTACTACGAAAAGTCTAGAACTCTAGCTGCCAAGTACCTTGTGGTGATGGCATCACTGTTGATCTCCCAAAGAGGAGGTCACGGGTTTGAGTCTCATCCCAATCAAGAATGTTGACATTAACTAGGTTTGAGACTCAGTACTATAATAGGTTTACAAGCATATGAAAAAAAGTCTAGAACTCTAGCTAGTGGGAGTGTGGGACAATCGCGGTTTTAATAATCGTAGCTTAATAATACGGAATAATTGACATTCGGATATCTAGTAATTCAATTGGGTATGTAGCTTATAATAATGACATACTTCGCCTAACAAATAAACAAAGTTCATAACAAGATTCAAGTATAAAACCTAATAAAGGCTTCCTGCATGCGTCACTTGTCTGGCGGCGGCTAACCAATTGGGGGTTCCTAGCCACTATTTGGCTAGCTATTTGCCCATATATAAATCAACAATTCTTACTTTATACGAGAGGATCCTCAGTCCAACCACCCCATTTGAGTGATACTTGTTGTAATTTTTTGATGAATCTGTTTGAATCTGTCTTAGTTTATAGTCACAAAATTTCAGCTTAAAATTCAAATGAGAAGTCAGTTAAATAAATTATTTATAAACACTGCGATTATATATATAGTTTGGCGCAATATTTTTCAGTAATTTATTTAACTGACTTCTCAATGAAATTTTAAGCTGAAGTTTTAAGACGCAATTTACACTATATGAAAAACATACTTTGTACTAAAATAATTTCATCAATAAAACTTCACCGTGAACCGTTCCAAATAAGCGGCCTCTCAGAAACTCCTATCCATCCAGTCGGCAGCGGCGGACGCAGGATTTCCCGATAGCAGAGGCGGCAGTACAAAAATGTACATACAAATACATATATATTAAAAATTTCGGGGTAAATATGAGTTTTTTACGCAAATATTATCATTCATATTTGGGTTTAAAAAAAAGTGAGTAAGTGGCCATAACTACCCATCATATACAGCAGTTTAGGAGGAATGGTAGGGAATTCATCTTGGTGTGTTAATTACTAGTCATATTTTTGTTAGAGAGATTTAAAGTAGTATTATTGTGTAATTTTTTCGGTAAATATATCTAGATTTTTTTTTCCCAGGAGGGGCGGCATCCCCCCATAGCACCCATGTGTGTCCGCCACTGCCAGTCAGAGAGAATCAATACTCAATGAAATTTTAAGCTGAAGTTTTAAGACGCAATTTACACTTTATGAAAAACATACTCCGTACTAAAATAATTTCATCAAACAACTTCACGACTCACCGTGAACCGTTCCAAATAAGCGGCCTCTCAGAAACTCCTGTCCATTCAGTCGGAGAGAATCATTACTCTAAATTTTAGACGACTAATCTATGAAAGAGCAGCATCAGCATGCATGAGAAACCGAACCTAAACATGCAGGAATATGCAGTAACAAAGAGAAATTAGCAAGTAGGACCTTAGGACTACAGGAGTAAAAAAGAGTAATGGTTAGTTCGTCAAATAATTTATTCTATATGAACACAACATAAGTTATGTGTATAACGAATATGATCATTAATATCTACTCCGTATGAAAATTGATTTATGAGAGAAATAGAGAATTTGACATTCCATTTTCAAAATCATTTTTGGACTGTATAGGAAATATGGCCCCACTAGTCATCAATCTCAATCTCAAATTATTCCCAATCCGTATACATTAATATCGGATTGGAATATTAATCATGTACCAATCCGCGATACATTTGGGCATTTGGGTGTGTATTCGTGTTTGGCGATATGTGAACATACATTCCTACACGTGCATATAAAACAAACGATGTTCTTATGCTGTGGAGAATTTATGTCCAAGCCTTTTCTTTTAGATTATTATATTCCCATTAATTTTCTAATTATCATCTAATAAAAAGAATAAAGCTAGTTGACACGTATACTTTGTTTGTTTAAGGTATGGATATACATACATCCAATAAGCGTGGAGAGTAGGCCATTTTGTTTTATTGAATCTATTAGAAGAAAATAAAGAAATTTTAAAACGGAAGTTAAAATTCTTCATTTAGACTGTGTTATGCCTTAACCTCGTTTTTAATGTTTATTTTGTGTGTTTTTCCAACACGAATGTATGTTTTGTGTGTCTATTACGATTTACGTATTTAATTAATGTTTATAGTGTTTTTGGCCCAAGATTTTAAAGAATGTCTGTTTTAATTAGGGAATTTTTCAGAAAAGTCTAAAATGTAAAAACAATACTCCCTCCGTCCTCTTTTAAATGTCCCGTTTTATCATATTGGGATGTCCCTATTTAATTGCCTCATACCTTATTTGGTAAACTTTGTGTGGCTCAAAATTATTCTTACTTTATTCTTACTTTATCAATTAATATCAACCACACAAACTCATTTTTCTTAAAACTCGTGCCATCATCTCCCGTCCCATTTAAAAGGGGACGGAGGGAGTATCACTTTTGTCATCTACGGAAATTGTTTTCAAAAATAGACCGAGTAAGATTTTTCTTTCAAAAATCGACCATGAACACTAAAAGTCACGCGCCGGACGGACGAAGCAAACCACCTACGGCTACCACAATGTCATCTCCTAACATGAGCACTGCTATGCTATGTAGGTACTACGTAGACACTTAAGGTCTCAATCATGACTACTTTGATAAACTCAAACAAATTGCATGGAATTATTACTTATTGTTGGTTTTATGTACAAAAAAAATGTACAAAATTATTAAAAAGTGTAAAACATGATTACAAAACGAAAATTTTAAAAGTGCAAAGAAAAATAGTAAATTTAAAAACTTAACAATAATTCAAATTCAAAATTTTAAAAATCGAAAAATACAAAATTGAAAACTTGTAAACTAAGTTTAAAAAATCAAATAAAAATTTAAGTTTAAAAGTAAAATCTGAAAAAATTAAGATTAAAATTACTCAAAATGTGAGACGTTTTAAAAAACAAAATACTTTGAAATACAATTTGAAAATAGTAAATATAATTCATAAAAATATAAAACATCAAAAATATAAATATTCGAAAGTTCGATAAAAGAAATAACTAACAGAAAAATATAAATAATTAAAAATATTAATTAGATTTTTTCTCAACATTCAAAAAACTTTAAATTGAATTTAAAAAAATTAATTAAAAAACAGAAAAGTTTAAGGAAATTAAAAAAAGGTGTAGATAAATTAAAAAAATAAATAGTAAACAATACTTGAAAGCTGTCAATGTGTTTGAAAATTTGGGCTTTTGGTAATTCAATAAATGCAAAAGTAGCTGCAGAATTTGTTTCTATCATAAGTTTTTGTTTCATATTGTTTTTTTTGTTTCTTATTGTTTTCCCGTGGTGCTTTTTGTTGTCTTTAAAAAAAGTTGTTCATTTGTGTTCTTTTTTACTGACTTCATAAATACAAATTTATCGTTTATCATTATATTTATACAAAGCTTGTTCATACCCAAGTAGCAAAAATAAATGAAGAATTGAAAAGAAACACCACAAGTCCACAACAAAAAATACTAACAAGATACACAAAAAAGCAACAACATACAACAACATACAACAAAATGCAACAACGTACAACAAAATGCAACAACGTACAACAAAAAGAAACAAAGTAAATAAATACAGCATATGTAATTGTTAAATAAATACATAATTAACTTATGATCAGAACTACAATTACTATCTACACTCCTTCATTGTGTATGGTGTTTCAACATCAAGCAACTACATACACCAAAATGCAACAACATACAACAAAAAGAAACAAAATAAATAAATACAACATATGCCAGTGTTAAATGAATACATATTGAAATTTATGATCAGACTTGCAAATACATTCTAGACTCCTTCATTGTATATGGTGTTTCAATAAGAAAGAGTAGTCAAAACTTTAGAAAATGACATATTCAAAATTCATCCGTAGAAGAATCAACCACCACATCCTTTCTGCTCAGGTTAAGGAAGATACCTCTTGTGTGGGTGTAAAATCAGTTAGAAGCTGAAAATGAAATTTGAGTATAAATCAATATTAGATAAATCAAGTGGAATTACAGGAAAGGAGGGAACATAAAAACAAAAAAGGAAAATAGACTCGATAATTCTAGATAAAGTTTCTCTAGACCAAGAATGATCGGGAAAGCAAACGATATGTTAATACCATTTAAATTAGTGCCAAGAAGTAACTAATATGACTAGTGATTTGTAAAAGGTTCACCATGAGATTCCCAAAGCAGTTAAATTATTAATATATTCATTTGATTATTTCTTGACAATTACTAAGATGCCAAAACACAAAACCAGTCAACGAAATGAAGTAGCTAAATGATAATGTTTTAGCTAATGTTGCAGAATTCAACATTTGAAAAAGTCATTTAACTCTTTTTAAATTGACAAAAAATATAGCAAACCATATAGAAGTAGAGATCTAATGTTGTTGTTGCTCACCTCAACTACTGTAACTTTCACACATACTAATGAGGATGAAGTGGTGGGTTGAAGATTTGTTGACAATGGAATCAGTAGAGTTGTCTAACTTGTCCTTACTGCTACTTCTTCTTGACCTTTGCACCATATTCGCAGCCTGTCCAATCAACATAAAACCGGTCTATAAAGCATGAAAAAAGTTACTAAATCAACACATGGACATTTGAATTAACATTTGATTATATCAAATCACTGCTTCACATCCTCAATCCATAATTTTGTTGGAAATTTTGGGATATTTCAAATGAATAATTCTTAATTATTTTTCTAGGAAATTTTATCACGACTTTAAAGACCATTTTATCCTTTATTATTTACTGTAGTCCTAAAATTACTTTGCATGGCGGGAGGTTTTTGTTCATGGAGTATTAAATGTGATCCTGTATATTTCTTAGTATTTTGGTATCTTTCAATACACTACTTAAATAATTTATATTTTGATCGATGTTTAGTTTTCCAAACGTCCTTGGATGCACGGTTGAAGTCTTAACCACGTTAATGGTATATTTAATATAATATTGAATACTTTAATGGCATGCCATGAACGTTTCATTGTCAAGAAGTAAATATTAGTAAATTGCATTCAATTCAAACTTTTTACTAGTATATGATTGGTCGTGTATTATATATATACATATACTTCATGTGTTCGAGGTGTGTTTTTGACTACTAGCAAAAATACTTACGTATGTATATATATGAAAACATGCATGTATATGAAAGTATAGACAGATTTCTTTGATGCTTTACTATTGTAAAGAAATATAATGGGGCTTTAACAAATACACTTTATTGCTGGGTTCATATACTAATTTTCTTCTCGTCAGTTCTGGTACCGGTTTCATAACCGAAGGGCTCGTTATATCCTGGGGGAAATTTCCGTATGCCGGAAATAATTCCTTAGGACAGCGTCTGACGCGTCTCGAGCTTCTAATATATTTTTAGTTCTTTTTAGTGATTATTCTGCAGGTCAATTCTCGGAGCTAGATGGTCAACGAGGTCAACTTAGGAGCAACACGGTCAACACGTTGATTTTGGAAGGATAGAGCTAACAAATTTAACATTTGAAAACTCAATTTGACACTTAGCTAGTGAATAGCTGCACATCTCATTACTTAGAGTGGAAAGCAACAGGTTATCTTAATGGAGAAAGAACACTCTCGAAAAGGAATTCTTTGGACCGTAGAGAGGAAGTACTTAGTTTTCTTTTAGTACTGCAAAAAGAAGTTTTCTTTTAGTTTTCTTTTAGTTTTCTTGCGCAAGCTCTGTTTCTCTCCCCCGCTATTCCCACTATATATCGCTCAGAAAACAGCAGTTGCTTCTAAGTACTACTACTCTGCAATTAAATCCTCTAAAACATACACTATACATACCTACTTAAGCAAATCCATCTCTGTAGCAATTTAGTCTGGTGCAGGAGAATGTTGTGTGTCTATATCATTAGGAGACAGAATAATGAGATACTGTAGAAAAGGGGAATATCCACCGGCTAAAGGCACTTCTTAAGTCTCTCGCGGTTCCACACTCGCAACCGGCTGATTTGTTTTGTGATAATCAAGTTGCGCTCCATATCGCCTCTAATCCCGTGTTTCATGAACGCACTAAACACATTGAGCTTGACTGTCACTTTATTCGCAATCACATCCAGGCCGGCACTATCTCTACTCATTATAGGTCTTCTGCTGAACAATTAGCAGACATTTTTACGAAACCTCTTGGCGCTCAACAATTCTCCTATTTAGCATCCAAGTTGGGCATTTGGGATCCTCATGCTCCAACTTGAGGGGGGTATTGAGACATATTATGTTTCTTGATAGCATATTATTTACTTGCCTTAGTTATGTACGTACGTTTTTGTAGAGTAGCATTATTTGGAATATTTTCTTTCCTTGTTTTATGTACGTTAGTGTGCTGATTGGAGAAGAATTCTCCATCGTAAATTCATTCTCCTTTGTAAAACATCTTGTATATATACGAAGGCAAGGAAGAAAAAGAAGCAGACTTTTGGTTCGCATATATTCCCCTTTTCTACAGATACCTTACTGGAGAAGTTCTTGAGAAGATGTTTTTGGTAAGTGACAGCGAAAGCACTTCTATCGATGAATGGTGGAGAAGAACGAGATGAATTCAGAAGAGTTGGACGACAGAGAGGCACAGAACAACGATCTTCCTCCTCCATCTTCTAATTCCAAATTGGAAACGGTGAATCTGGAACTGAAAATAGCAACGACCAAAATCCATCTGCTTCGTCGCAGACTTCTGCGATCTAATTCGATTAGGCGTAAAGCTATTTTTGAAATAAAAAAGACATAAGTGAAAAGGTGAAAGTCTAGTTATGAAAGAAACTATAACGTGGGCTATAAATGAAATGCAATCAATAAAAGTGGATCATTTGGGTAATTTCCACTCTTAATTAATTACATGCCATGGGGACCTCGTACACTATATTTAAACACTATATTAGTGAGCTCTGATTTTGTCTTGAGACATGAAATCTCTTTCTAAATATTATTGAAATATAGCGTATTGAATAAAAGTAGAGAAATTTACAATTTTCATCATGTAATTTTCGGCCATATTCATTTTAGTGATGTGACTTTATTCACTTGTAAATTTGGTCCTGTTATTAGTTAATAAACTTTTATGATTTAAGGACTCCCCATTGAAAAGTATATTTTCTCGCAAAAGTACATTGTAAAAGATTCAACCGACGTCAATTTTTTGTCTGAAAGTGTACTTCCCGGTGAAGAAGTCTTTTACTTGCAAATGTTTATTAGCTACAAGACCATATATTTGCTAGTGAGTAAAGTTATTGGACCAATAACGATAACATCCGAAAAGTTACAGAACTAAAATTACCAATCTTTCATAATAAATATTATTAGAGAATTTACCCTAAATAGGACTAAAAACGTTTGTAAATTCCAAAATGGGATGGCCATGTTTTTAATTCCCAAAATGGGACTAATTACTGTCATGTTTTGGCAGTACCAGACTTTAAACATGGCAGTATTTTCCAAACTTGACAGTAATTACTCATATTTTGGGAATAAAAACATGACAGTCCTATTTTGGAATTTACAAACATTTTTGGTCCCATTTGAGGAACTTTCTCATATTATTAAAGTTACTTTACGTATAACATCACTCATTTTTTATTTTCATAATGTACTCCTATGTAATTGTAGTTTTTTTCTAATAGGTCAAAAATGGTAACTGAAATTGTATACACACTTGATTAGAAAGCCAAAAAGGACATGTAATTATTGGTAGAGCTCAATTCATTGGGAAAAGGAACATATAGACCGCCACATCATCGTCTCGTAACGGCGCATGCAAAACTTTTTGGTATGAAACGTAAAAATGAGAAATGAAGGAAGCCAGCTCATCTATTATTGCATTTCATTTTTATTGCTCTTTTGAAGGAATAATTATCCTTTCAATTTTGTCAAAAGAATTATATCCTTCCCATCTATTTCTATTTATATATAAGAAAAGAAATAGCTCATAAAAATACTATTTTACCCTTCATTAATCCTATGTGTCAAACTCTCCACAATTCTCTCATTTTCTATAAAAATGACACGTGGCTTTTCACTCCAAAAATAACTTCTCCAATTGAAATGGAAGGGGAGCAGCCGTAGGATTTTCAGTTGGTGGGGCCCAACCTATAAAAAACCCCAATTTTTTTAAAGTATTATAACTTTTTCATTTTTGTTCCAATTTTTACAAAAATCATATCAAAATTCATAATTTTTTGTGATCTTTCATATGAGATCAATATTGAATATATACAAATATAATTTATTAACGATCTCTATAATTATGCTTATAACTATCTATATTCAATTTATGATCTATTTTGTTGTCTCAATAAAGGAAGTTACTGTATGTGATCTTTTTAGCTACTTTTCATATAATGTTTTTCTTAATTTCATTAATAAAATTATTTTAAATTAAATTTATCCATAAGCCAATAGATTCAACTAATTCAACCGCTTTTCATATAATTTTTTATATACTTCATTAATGAAATATAATCTAAATTAAACCCAAATAGTTGCAAAATATGACCACACAGGGTCTGAAATTCCAAAATAGGACTGTTATGTTTTTCTTCCCAAAATAGGACTAAGATGACATTATTTACCGCTATCTTTTGGACATGACTGCCAAATAGTTGCAGTACTATGCATTCAACATGACAGTATTTATTATAATTAACTAGGTGAAGTACCCGTGCGATGCACAGGATATATCTTGAATTGATTAATGATTTAATTAAATATATGTTTTATGATGCCATGATGGTACATATTGTCTGACTTTATCGAATAAAAAAGGCGATATAGTTATGTATTGTTACTTTTATTAATTATATACTATGTACATAGTAATGTACATAGTAGTAGTTGTTAAAAGAAATTGAGAAATTGGACAATTAAAAAACTCAAGTAAAACTAAAATAAACGATAAGGTATAACCAATAAGTCTGCGTTACTATGAGATAACTTGATAGTAAAATTATTAGTGGGTCTCATTAAACTTTTCTTTGATGTATTTTCTCGCATATATATAGTATATATTTGTTTGATAGCATATATATAGTAAAAAAAATACTCCGTAGTATATAATTGTTCTGGTAAACGCTAACATCCTAGGTTGTACAAATCGATGACCGACAATTCGCAAGCAGATGCAATAATTAGCGATCTGCAGCAATGAATAATGCTTTCGTATTTTAAAGATTGTTACATATGACTTTGGCAAATTATTTAAGGAAAAAAGTAGTAGGGGTAATAAATAGTGTAAAAAAGTAAACGAAAATGTCTTAAAGTATGAAAGAGAAGATAAAAAATATAAAAAGTAATGGTAATTTGAGTGTTTTTAAGAAAAACTTTAAAAAGGAAAATGTAGCAAAACTTTTAAACACATTCTAAAAGTGAAAATGTGGCAAACTTTAAAATATTGAAATAGCGTATAAAGAAAGTATAACAAAAAAGTTTCGTGAGACACACTAATAATTGTACTATCAAGTTTATTCGTTGTTATATAGAGTTATTATTATACGTTATTGTTTATTTTAATTTTACTTGTAATTTTTTATACGGTCCAAATTTGCATTTTCATACAACTATTACTACGTCTATATGTAATAGAAGTTATAACACATAAACTCTAGTCTTTTTTATTTGGAAAAATTACATATTACATATTGTAACTATTTTGACAATTATAGTGTAACAATACATATTGTAAAAATTACATATTACATATTGTAAGATTGTAACAATACATATTGTAAAAATTCATTTTCTTCGGCTTATTTTCCTTCCTCCTTTAATATGTAAAAATTACATATTACATATTGTAAGATTGCTAACAATTGAGAAGGAGAATTGAGCGAGAGAATTTTATTGCTCATACGTAGTGTTTTTAGGTATTACGTAGTAGAAGATAAGCTTGCTAACCATTGAGAGGAATAACTTTCTCCCTCATATGTAGTTCTGAGTATAAGATAAGAAGACTAAACAATTGAGCAAGATAACTTTCTCTCTCATATGTAGTATTTTTAGGCATAAGAAGCTAAGAAGATAAACTTGCTAGCAATTGAGTGAGAGAACTTTCACTGTTACGGGTAGTTCTTAAGTACTCTGTATATAAGATAATCCAGCTAACCGTTGAGCGTGAAAATTTACCCTTCCATATGTAGTGCTTTTAGGTATAACATAAGTCGACTAATAATTGAACCAGAAAACTTTCTCTCTCATATGTAGTCTATTTAGATATGACAAGATAAACTTGCTTGCTAATAATTAAGTGAAAATTTTCTCTCTCATATATAGTGCTTTTAGTTATAAGAAGATAAAGTTGCTAACAATTGAGCGAGGATATCATCATATATGTAGTTCTTTGTAGTATTAGATAAGTCGGCTAACAATTAAAGAACATATTTGTTTCTCTCACACATAGTGCTTTTAGGTATAAGGTAAGATAATGAGGCTAACAATTGAGTGAAAGATTTTTTTCTCATATGTAATTGTTTTAGATATAACAAGATAAGCCAACTAAGAATTGAGCAGAATAATTTTCTCTCACATATGTTAGCACGAATCTACTAATGAATGGAGTTATTATTTAACTAATATTCATTGATTTTAATATTTATTGTACTCACTTTTTTAGAATTATTATTTAATTTTAAAATTAATCTAATCATGGAAATGAATAAGCAGCAAATTCTAATGAGTAGTGTCAATTAATTTTTCCTAATATACTCTTCATTCAATATATATTTTAAGGTATTAGCTGATTGAATTACAATTTTTTTCGAAAATGTAGAATCCTAAAAAGTTGTTTCTATTTTAATATTTAATTAGATCATGAGTAAAAAATATATGCACCAACCGCTCTATCCCGTGCGTATGCACGGGTACTATACTAGTTTTTGTATGGAAAGTCATCCGCGCGACCAACCCTTTCATCCCACGTGTTCCATTGAACTTGACTATCAATTAATTTGCATCAATGAATGTGCTTTAATTTGTCCGGAATCGGAATACCCGTGCGATATATCTAGAATTAAATAATTACTAATTATTAAATTAAATTATGTGTTATGATGATACACAATGTGTAATTTTATCAAATTAAAAAAATGATAAAGTTTATGTGTTGTTACTTTTATTAATTATATATGTAGTAGTTATAATAAAATAAAAATTGGATCATAAAAAAATCCAAGTAAAATTAAAATAAACGATAAAGTGTAACCAATAACTCTACGTGACAATGGAATAACTTAATAGTAAAATTATTAGTGAGCCTCATGAAACTTTTGCTGTATTTATTGCATATATAGTAGGAAAAATTGATTGTAATAATCCCAATTATTGATAGTCTGCTCATAATAATCTCAACTACCGATTATTTCAGAATAATCCCAACTTTAGGGACCTTCCGCCAATAATGGTCCGACGTGACCGACTATAAATAAATCCTTATAGTTTCTAAAGAAATATAGCAGGTAGTTAATCCCTATAAATAATCCCAAGTTTTAATTTTTACGCTTAATTCCTATTAAAATTCACATGTTATAGCAGGTAATATGCGGTCATGGACCATTATTGGAGGACAGTTCATATAGTTGAGATTATACAAAAATAATCAATAATTGGGATTGTTGTTAGCGGACCGGCAATAGTTGAGATTATTATTTTCAATTTTTCCTATATAGTATGTGTTGATGTAGAAATCAGTTACCGATAATTCTCTAGCAAATGCATTGGTTAGTGGTTGGTAGCAATGAATACTCTCTGTATTCTAAAGATTACTACATATGACTTTGGAACATTATTTAAGGAGGAAAGTAGTATGAGTAATGAATAGTGTAGAAAAAGTAAGAGAGACATTGTTAACGTATGAAAGAGAAGATAAAAATATAAAAAGTAAGAGTAATTCAGTACTTTTAATGGAAAACTTACTAAAAAGGAAAATGTAGAAAACTTTTAAATACATTTAAAAAAAAGTGTAACAGACTTTAAAATACGGAGATGTTATCTATAAAGAAAGTACAACAACAAAAAGTTTCATGAGGCACCAATTGCACTATCAAGTAAATTCATTTTCAGATAGAATCTCATTACAATATTGGATTTCATCTTGTTCTTTTTATAAAATAAAGATAATAAGAAATATTATTGATGATTAATACTATAATTGTAAACCGATGATTAAATTATAGGAAAATTGCTCAATATAGAAGTAAACATGTTTTGGAATTTCAAAATAGGACTATTTTGCATTGTTTTCTTCCCGAAATATGTATTGTATTGTCATGATTGAAAAATAATGTTATTAATGGCGGTAAATAAAGTCATGTCAATGCTTAATATTGTAACTACTTCGACAGTAATGAGTCAAAGATAGTAAATACTCCAATGTCGGAAAGAATAACATAGCAATTTTATTTTGAAACCCAAAACATTTTTATTCCGACTCTCGGAATTTTCTCCCAATTTATATTCCTTTCGTTTCAATCAACTTTGTCAGTTTTTCTTTTTCGTTTGTCTCAAAAACTTTGTAACTTTCGAATAAATTTATGATTCAACTTGTTTTCCTTATTAAAGTTTATCTTCACCCTTTTTTCTTTCACATCATCACTATTAAGGGAGAGAAATTTTGTTGGAAGCGAAAACTCTTTTCTTCCATATTAGTATACAAAATAATAATGTTTGGGAATAATGGCGCAGAAAGAGCCGGGGTATGAGATGCGGTAAAACGGGAGCAGTGTAGAGCAGAGTGACCTGGAGAAAAACATAACTGACAAACAACGGGGGGACGAGGAGACTGGAAAGATTGGTCCACAGATGGAAAACCTGCATAAACATTGTGAGTAGCAGTCGGAGGAAAATAATCAGTATAAGTAATACCAGAACTAATATTACACAATGCCAAACCTAGAGCCCCAGGAAAAGCAGTCCCCGCGGCTGAACTGGAGCTGGTTGCCCCGGAAAAACACCATATGGGGAGGGAGCTACGCCGTACTGCTGCTGGTAGTATCCTCTGCCACCGCGGCCTCGTCCTCCACGACCGCGACCCCCACGCTGTTTGCGACCACCCCCTCCACGTGGAGCACCACCCCGAGCTGCAGGAGCCGGAGCTGCTACAAATGCCTGGGGTGCCGAGGGCTGTTCTTGAGCCTAGAAGAATAGATTGCGCTGCTCCTGTGCCTGTAAAATTGGTCGTATATCTTCAAGAGAGGGAATGCCAGGCATGTAGTCAATGTTATTGATGAGGGACTCATAACCACGTCCCAAACCAATGATAGCATACTCAATTAAATCACGTGCACTGACAGGAGATTTTATGGCTGCTAATTTATCTGCTATAAGTTTGATTTCAAGCAAATATTGATCCATAGTCTGAGAGTCCTTCTTTTTAATATGAGAGAGCAAACGCTTCAATTCAACAGAACGAGAAATACATGCAGACATGAAGCGCTTTTGAAGTCGATCCCAAATAAGATGTGAAAACTGTAAATCATAGACTTCCATAAGGACATCTCTAGCAAGAGTAGCAAAAAGCCATGACCTGACAGTCTGATCTATTTTAAGCCAATGATGGTAGTCAGCATTGGGAATTTCCTGTCGGGATAAATCAATGGTGGTGGGTGATGGTGGCGGAATAGACCCATCCAAAATTCCCAATAAACTGTGAGAGACTAAAAAAAGACTCAAATTGAGTTCTCCAGGGTAAATAATCTTCAACCTCAGACAGGCGTGTGGTCACAATATTATTAACATTCGGGGTAGAAAAGGCTAATTGTGAAGCCAATGAGGATAAAGGAGTCTGTGAATTATTGAAACCTGGCAAAAGTGGCCCTGGTGTCTGCTGGAATGAAGCGACGCCGGGTTGGCCAGTAAAAGTCGGGCCAGAGAACTCCGACATTCGGGAAGAGCTGCCAACGTCATGAAAAACCGGCGGCGGGGGCAGTGTGAGCGACGTCATCGTGGGTGCAGAGGACGCCCATGTAAATGGCTCAGGCATGCCAAAGAGACGGTAATTATTTTGCGGCTGAACTCCACGGAAGCGCTGGGACAACGATGCCGACGGCGGAGAGCTGATCTGCGCGGCAGTTGAAAACGGTCCAATTGGCATGGTGACCTGCGGAAGGGATAACTGATCCATGCTGGAACCGAAGGAAGCTTGTGCGCCGTTTAATGTTGCAGGGGCGCTGGATATGGGATGCGCCGCCGTGGCGGGCGCCGCTGGAACGGTTGCCGTCGTAGGGTTTATTTGATCGACCATGAAGGAAACGTAGAAGGAACCTAGGCTACTGATACCATATACAAAATAATAATATTTGGGAATAATGGCTTACTCTATTGGGTGCCTTGTGATGTATTTATACTAAAAACCAAGTTTAGGAAATTACATAGTAATCCTTATATAATTACATTATTAATTAGGACCCTTACATTCTTTTGGAATGAGCATAATAGATCAACTTATAATTTTCATGTTCTTATTTTCATGTTAGTTACGAAAGTTAGAATCTAATACTTTTTCTTCCATATGATATTGCTCTTATTATTACTATTACTATAATAATTTGATAAATTTGTATGACTTTAAGAGCCCGTTTGGTAACACTAAAATTGGCTGTATTGGCTGATTCTGCTGAAATTTATGAAGTTCTGGCTGAAGTGGCTGTATTGGTTGATTTTGCTGATTCATGAAAAAATTATATTTAAAATATTTGTTATTAACAAATAAAATAAAAAATTATATGAAAAAATAGCTAAAATGATCCTCTACAGTAACTTCAGCCAATACAGCCAGAAAAATATCTGGTCTAGTCTAGTCTAGATATAATAAAAGGAAACCAAATCCTTATACTTAATAGCAATACAAATGCATCTGCACCGTTCATCTAAAAAGATCTGAACCTTTCGCTTAATAGCATATCGATCTCTTTCCTTTGTAATTCTCTTTTCTTTTTACGCATCTGTCCATCTTCTTCCGCCTACTCCGTATCTCGAGAAATTGACGAAACAGAGCATGTTTATTGCAGGTGTTTCCAAATAGGCCATATTCAATTTTTTTGACAAAAAAGTGCAAAACGGAGTTGGGTACTCCGAAAATTAAAAGTGTTAGAAAGTTGTTTTGGCTCAGCTTTCCTCATTTCGGATTTATAAAATCCGAAAAGTGCTTTGGTTCAGCTTTGGTTCAGAGGAGTCAGCTTTTCTATTTTCGGATTTCTGAACTCCGAAATAAGGGTAGGGTGTCAGCTTTCTTACTTTCGGACTTGGCAACTCCGAATCCAGAGGATGAGATTTCGGGCTCCGTGATTGGTTGGCTACAGATCGGTTTGTTGTTATAAATTGACCTTCAACCTCCATTCTCCCATACCTTCAACCACCCCTTTCTACCCTCCTCTCATCCTCTTTATTGTTTATTGAAAGGTTAGTATCTTATTCATCTTCTTCCTTATTCATTATTGTTGTTGTTGTTATTATTATTATTATTGATACAATTTCTATTATTAATGTGTGCATATATTTTTTTATGACTTAAAATATTACAGAGTGTCAGATAAAATGACATACTATGTCTCGTATCGGATAAAAAAATACACTTTATCAAATAAAAATATTTTAGGTCAGATAAAATATCTCGGAATACGCACTTATCAACTCCACATCTAACATCATTATTTCCAACTACCCCAATAATGTCTTCGGTCAGATAAAGAAATATACTTTATCAGATAAAAATATTCTCGGTCAGATAAAATATCTCGGATTAAACACTCATCCACTCCACACCTAACCTCATTATGTCCAACCACCACAATAATGTTTCCGGTCAGATAAAAAAATACACTTTATCAGATAAAAATATTACCGGTCTGATAAAATATCTCGGATTACGCACTCATCCACTGCACACCTAACCTCATTATTTCCAACCACCCCAAGAATGTCTCTGTTCAGATAAAAAAATACACTTTATCAGATAAAAATATTACCGGTCTGATAAAATATCTCGGATTACGCACTCATCCACTACACACCTAACACCTAACCTCATTATTTCCAACCACCCCAATAATGTTTCCGTTCACATAAAAAAATACACTTTATCATATAAAAATATTCTGGGACAGATAAAATATCTCGGATTACGCACTCCGTAATATTACGGAGTTAATTGTACGTAGATAATAAATGTAGTAATTTTTTATTAGTATACTAGTAGTAATAATTGTAGAAAATGGTTTAATATTTCTATAAAAGTAGGTGAATAGAAAAAATGACATAATACGTATTAGTTAATGGTCTAAGAAATTGCTACGGAGTATTTGTTATGTAGTACTCTGTAGTAGTTAACCCATCCTTATCTAAATAAGTGTCTTACTTCCATTTTAGATGTATTACTTGCTACATATTTAATAATTATAGTTAACACTTTGTATTAGATGTACACGTAATATTTGTAAATTTTTATTACAATGCATTGTTATTTATTGTTGTTCTTGCCAATATTATAAATTATGGTATTGTAGAAATTGGTATATGTATTTAAGAAATTCATAAGTTGTTATAAAATATATAAAATATTTAAGAAATTCATAAGTTGTATTGGTAAATATATAAGTCATATTAATGTTTAAGTAGTTATAAAATAATAGTGGACACAAAAAAATATAACGTTAGTTGTACTGTTAAACTACATAAAAATTTGAACACATTTATTGAATGACTTAAAAACATGAAAACAAATAGTTTATGTTTGCTTGTTAATTGTAGGTTTGTAATGGCCGAACGAGTTGCACACCCAGGGCCTCAGGATCGTTCAGTGTTGTTTATGCTACCGGATGAGCATCGTGCCGATCGTGTGTGGCATGAATCATCATTTCGTGACGTCAAACTGAAATGCCAGCACTATTCGAGAGAAGCCTACGTTGAGGAGGGTCCGCGTCATCCTAGGGTGGTACAGTTGCTGAGAGTATCGGGCTTTCATGGTGTGGAGAGAATAGGACAATTGCAGTTAGATTGGTCTCTTGTGACTGCGTTAGTGGAGAGGTGGAGACCCGAGGTACATGCATTTCATTTGCCCTTTGGTGAGGTAGGATTGACCTTGCAGGACGTACAAGTGTTGTTGGGGTTGCCTATTGACGGCATACCACTCACGGTTAATCTATCCAGACGTGTTTGTGACTGCGGTTGTTGGAGGATGAACGGAATGCCATGTGTCCATGCACATTCTGTGTGCCATTTTCTAAATTGCAGTGTTGATTATCTTATTCCTGAGGTATACAAACTGAGTTCTTACATAAATGCACATTCCAGTGATATCATGCCATTTCCGAATATGAATGAGTGGCCGCAAAATGAGTTCATTCTTCTTCCGCCTAAGTACTCTTCCAGAACTTCTCGAGCTGGGCGCCGTCAAGAAACAAGATTTCCAAATGAGATGGATATGCGTCCAAGACGAAGAGGACAACATGATTGATTTGTATTTGTACTCTTATAATGTAATCTGTTTTTGTACTTTGTTTTAATGTTTTAAAATATTTATTAGCCATATGTTTTATATGTACCTTTAATATGACTTATTGTGCAATGAACTTTGTTTTATTTTGAATTCGTATGACTTTAATTTATGGGTCACTTATAAATTATACGTGTTATATTGTAAATTGTATTTGTATTTACTTTGGAGTTCATAACATTGAATGGGTCAACTATTTTTAAAAATCGTCAAATTGATTTAATATATTGATACTTTTAATCAATGTAGTTTGTTCTTCTAAATATATTAACATATCGATACTTTTATCATCTTTTCCGGGTTCACAATATTTAATGGGTACGGTTTTATAATTTGAATTACGTTCAAAACATTATTTTGTTAATGTAAATGTAACATATTTTTTACTATTTGTGCTCAAAACATTTAATGGGTCACTTTTGTAAAACGTATGCTAATTTATTTTAATGGGTCAAATTTAAGTAAAACGCATGTTTTTATCTAAATCGGGAATCACACGCAAATTCAATTAAAATACAACTATGGTATGATTTTTAATTACGTTGAACAATATACTCGTACGATTTATACGTTTTCAAAAAAAATTGATTTATAACAACAATTTTTCAAAAATTCAAAAACACTAAAATTAAGGACACTAAAATTGATTTATATGTTGAACAATTAAGGACCCCTATTTTCGGATTTGCTAACTCCGAAAATGAGTTAGCACTCGGAGTCCATTTCCGAGCTTAGTAACTCCGAAAATGAATTCTTCCTACCAAGCTAAATTCGGACCTGCCAACTCCGTTTTGCACTCTCTCGGAAAAGGTCAGAAAAATTGCACTTTTTGGAATGCGATGTAAAAAAAATGCTCTTTTCCGTCAAACACCCCCGTATCTCTTTACTTTGTAAGTCACTACAGCTCTTCTTCCGATCTTTAACTTCCACCTTTCCCTTTCATTTCCAATACTCTTTCAACTCGCGACTTCTCCTTTTTTCTTCGGCTTATTTTCCTTCCTCCTTTCTTCTTCCCAAATCGGAGTTCCTCAAGTTTGTTGGTGTCGTCAACAACATGAATTTCTCAAAAAGAAGATACTTATCTGCCGAAATCTATCAGGAGTCATTTGCCATGAAATTATCAGAAAAAAGGATATGGCTATTCATCTACCCGAAGTCATTTGAGTGGAAATCATCCGAATAAAGAGATTGTTTCTTCCTTCAAAGTTGATCGTTTCTCCGTATATTATTCCAGTAAAATCTTATTCTTCTTCCCAGAACATTTTCTCTTTCTCTATCGTGCTTTTTTCAATGTTGAAATCGATTTTGTTTGTTTTTTCTATTGCTACTTAGAGGTTGTTCGAATTGACCTTCACAGGTTTTTTTTGCTTCAGATTCTGGTTCAGATTGAGAAATCAATTTGTTCCATTTGACAAAGTACCACATGTTCCAAGTTAATCATCTACTCTGGTTTTTCCTCATACAATGATTTTGGAATTTTCCATACAGTAACATTTTGGGAAAATTCCTTAAATAGGAGTAAAAAAGTTTTAAAATTCCAAAATAGGATTGACACCATGTTTTTATTCCATAAATAGGATTAGTTTTTGCCAAGTTTGGCTTTGCCCGGCTTTAAACATGGCAGTTTTTTTCAAACTTTGCAGAAATTACTCCAATTTAGTGAATAAAAACATGAGGTCCTATTTTGGAATCTCAAAACGTTTTTACTCCTATTCAGGGCAATTTCTACAACATTTTTTTCTATTTTATTGAACATTCTTTATGATTATTACGCCTTTGATTCATTTATTTTTATTTGTTTTAGACTTATAGATCTTTGAAAAATAGGAAAGCAACTCAAAAGACTACTTTATGCGTAAGGAATAGAAAAAATTAACAAACCCTTCTTTGAGTTAACTTATGCATTCCATATTAGAAAATAAAGACTCTTTGATCTGTGTACTCTAATTAACTTTAACATATTCTGAAGATAGTTGTTCCTCACATGTCTTGCAATTTTATTTCCAAAATTTAACTATGAGCTTTTGGTATTTCAATTTTGTTTCACAACTATAGTTTCGTGTTAGTTCTTTATCTAGCTGGAAACCTTTTGTTACTCATTGCACTATTGCACTTGGTCTTGGTAAAATATCGATCATTTCTAAAATTTTAAGAATAAGAAAACTAAATGTTTGCTTATTTATATCTATCACTGCATCCTACCTGAGGGCGGATTTATTGGTGAAGCTTCACCGCCCAAAATTTTGAGCATTTATAATGTCTTGAAGTTTTTTATATGAAAACCCCCATATAAATACTTAATGGATATGGTTTGCATCTTTGTTTTGGCTTGGGATAAAATCTTTTGTTGTTTGCACTGTGATTGAAATTTCTATGAGCGTTGTTGAATAACTCGTGTTATAATGTTTGAGGGTGATCTTCATCGGTATATGAAGGACATCATATCTGAATCAAAAGGTGTATTCAGTAACATGTATTTTTATTCTCAAATACCCGACTTGAACTATACTTTATGAACATAATTTGCCAAAAGAATGTATAACTAAATATATAGCGTGATGTGGACGAAATCTTAAAGATCCCCCTTCTGCGGCTTAACAAACTGGATATTCCTATTTGGGGTTTCACTAAGGATGGTTTATATTCGGTTAAGAGTGCTTATCGAAGTTGCATGAATACTTTGACAGACTTTGACCACCTAAAACAAGAAGGCCCATGGAGGAAGATATGGACATTAGCGGTCCCACCCAAGGTACGTACCTTCCTCTGGCGAGTTGGGAGGAATTGCTTGCCGACTCGGAACAATCTGCGCATAAGGGGAGTCCATTGTCCAGATGTCTGTGATTCTTGTGAGGGTGGACCAGAAAATTCTTGGCATGTTTTCCTAACATGTCCGTCTACTGTTGCTTGCTGGAGGGAGCTTTGTATTTGGGATGATCTTGTCATAACTATGAATGAAACAGAGAGCTTTGTGGAGTTCTTCCTTGCACGGGTAGCAGAATTTTCCGAAGAGAAACTGAAACTTTTTGGGATGACTATGTGGAGCATTTGGCGAAGGAGGAATGTTTTATATTGGGATGGTATTCGGGAGACCAACACACAAGTGATATCCCGTGGTGCTGAAATCTTACAAACATGGAATGCAGCTCAACAGCCGGGCCGAAACGTGAAGGATAGGAGCATGAATCTAGCGAGATGGAAAAGACCTCCGATTGACTTTGTAAAGTGTAATGTTGATGCTGCCATTTTTTATAATGCAAAATGTGTGGGTTTTGGTTGTTGTATCCGAAACCATGTTGGGAGATTCTATCAGGCTAGAACGGCATGGATAAATGCGGAAATGAGTCCAAGAGAGGCTGAAGCTTGGGGCTTAAGGGAAGCTATTAAATGGGTAAAACAGAAGGATTACACGAAAGTGGTTTTTGAGTCAGATTGTAAACAACTGATTGATGATTTGTATGGGAAGCGCGTTGACCAGTCTGAGTATGCATCCTTAGTCCAAGATTGCAGGGATCTTTTAGTCTCCAACAACGACTTTTGTGTTGTTTTTACTAGGCGACAAGCTAATAGTAGTGCTCATGTTCTTGCCCGGGCATCTACTAATTTTGCTTCTTGCATGGATTTTACATGTACTCCTGATTGTATCTCAAACATTATTATTAATGAAATGAATTAAGTTGTTGCTGTCAAAAAAAAAATATATACAATACTTTTTTAATAAAAACTTTTCAACCAGTTATAATGTATTCTGGTTTAAGATATGAACTGAAGTGTCTATTGTTTGTTTATTTTCATTCTTTTTTCACATTGCTGAGTTCGCTTGGTGGACTTTATGAGGCTGTGTGCTTCCATAAGTGGATCAAGTGAAGTGTGAGAAAGTTTTGTGATGAAACACTGCATTTTTATTGTATCATTGTATCATATTCTATATTTGTATCATTCTCAAAACTACATAGGTTAGGTTGGGTTGCTCTTATCACACACACTATGCAAATATCTGAAAACAATTGTTATGTTCTACCTTTGATCTAGAATCCCATCTATTCATTACTTCAGTTATGTTTGGAATTGCAGGTACCTTCTGCACAAGGAAAACAAATGCTCACTAATCTGATGCTAAATTCCAATAAATTTCAAAACAATTGTTATATCTAATGGGTACTAAAAACTTCCCTTCATTCTATGATAAGTGATTATGTCCAATCTTTCTTCATTTTATGATAAGTGATTATGTCCAATCTTTATATCTTTATTTTTATATCTAAAAGTACCACATGTGAAAGAGAGAAATCCCGCTTAAAAGCACCTGAAATTTCAATTGGTGAAGTCTTGGATTGGGCTGATAAAATACATTTTTCACCTAAGACTTCCTTCCAAATTTATTAAAATAACAACTGAACATGGCCCAACTATCCATTTTCTTGGGAACTGAAGGAACAACTCAACAGCTCTATTTAACTCTTCTTCTAAGTTACGGTTTCCACTTTACGGTACTTCTTAAAGACATATTAGATGCAATCTATCTTTGATTTTATTAAATGAAAAAACTAATTATACCTTTCTCCTATTAGCAAATATTAGAAATGCAATGAAAAGGTGGGGTTTTCCCAAATTTTTATTACCCATTTCATTTTCATTTACCCCAGTGCCGCAAAGCTAAGGCTCCCACCTACAATGGGGTAAGGGGGGTCGGATGTAAGTAGTCTTACCCCTGTACTAAAGCACAGAGAGACTGTTTTCGGATGACTCATAGTGAAATTCGCATCCAAAATTGCATGGACTGACTGCTGCTTCATAACAAAGAAGCGCAGACAGTTTAGTCAGCCATTTTGCTTTATTCCATCATATTCTCAAGCCAAAAAATAATGAATCTTAAGCCAAATTTTTATTACTAATAAACTTAAAAACAATCTTAATTAGAATAATTATTCTATTCATGATTTGTTGCGATCATAAAACCCATTCCCTATTCCAAGTCAATTTGATAAAGGATATGTAGTTGATGCATCCAATCTCATAGTTGAAGATGATAGAATCAAAAGAGTGGTGTCATTTTAAAAAAGCTGCTGATTTTGAAATTCAAATGGAAAATGAAAAAAGGTAATTATTCAATTCATTCGTGTGTTACCTGCTGATAAGAAACATCCAAGGGTTTCTTATGAAAACTCTAATATATATGGGCTTGAAATAATGAGACTATAGATTTATAAGGCAATTTATTAGCGATGAATTATTTATTGATTTTTTACTTTTAAATAGGATCAAATGGTATCCCCATCATTTGAAAAGGACTATTTAGCTTTCTTATTTTGCTTGCAGCTCTATGTTTGCAGTTTAGAACGGTCCATAATGGTGATTGATGATGGAATTTCCAACTTCGTAAAGGCAACTATTTGATATGCCATCATGGGTGAAGAAACTTAGTTCCATTGCGGTGTAATTATCAATTTGGTTCCAGGTGAAAGGATGAACAAACTTTTATTCCATTTTCTAAAGTAGGAGTGGGCTGAAAAGCTTGAACAGCACACATGTATTGACAGTTTCAAATTCACTATCCTCTGTATCTAAATGATTTTGGGTGCAAGACTATTAGCGTACGAGATAAAGAATATGTTAATATAGCACAGTATTTCGAAGAGTCTTTGAAATCCATTGAAAAAGATAAGATGACTGGTGGTGCCTTGGTTCATTGCTTTCGGGGAAGGCCCCGAAGTGGAGCTATAGTATTGACTTATGAGATGAGAAAACATGCTATGAGCGCTCTAGCTTTGGAACATGTGAGAAAGGGAAGAGCAAAACCCAAAAGACTTCCGGGGAAAGTCTTTCTAGGAAAGTATTTTATAAAACTTTAAATCTCCAGGATTCATAAATTATTAACGGTAGTAATCATAGGACCATATTGCTCCGCCGGTCTTAAATTCAAATAACTTCCTTTCATGAACTCGAATTTAACCGAAAGAGTAGCTTTTCTTATAATTTCATTTTACGATAATATATTACATATTCATTTTGTTTTCCATCTACTTTTGGGGAAGCGTATATTATACAATCGGCTATATACAATACAATTGGCTTATCTTAAATGAGCATTGATGCAATTTGGGTGAGCATCAAACCCGTTCTTTTGATTTTTGAGTATTGGGAGCCTAACAATGTGTCTGATCGGCACGGGACTCGGACCGGCCTGCCATTGTGCGGGCCCGGCCCGGTGGACCGGTACCGGGCCTAGGCCTGACCCTGGGGGGACGGGACTGCATATTTGGGGACTGGCCCGGGCTGTCCGGGCCTGGTTCGAGCCTTCTTTTTTTGGTTTTTTTTTGGGTTTGGGTCTATGGTAGATGGGCTGGGCTGGGCTGGGTGTTTGGGCGGGGTGGTGGGGGGTGGCGCATTTTTTAGTTTTTAACAAGTCAAGATTATTTATTAGGGCCCGTTTGGTACTCCATGTTTTTGTCATATCTGCCAATTTTTGTAACAAATGCGCAATTTTTTATTTCACACACTGATTTTTTTTATTATAATAGGTAGTTCACTCCCGTGCAACACACGGGTCGAGTAACTAGTCATTATTAAAGCATGAATGATACGTTACTTACGTACGTCATTGCTAAAATTTCTTACCTAGTATAATTAATTACCAAATTTGCTTTTTCATTAACTCCCTATTTTGCCCTTATTTTGGGTGGGATTTTTCCCTCCGATTCTTACTCCAACTTTGTTACTTTATATTATATAAAGATTATTATATATATATCAGCACGTTTCGATGAATGTGTTTAACGTGAGAATCGTGAGAACACAACTTTTAACTCAATGTGATATGCAGTAACGTTTATACATTACACTTTTCAAAACATGACAATATCAAGTAAGTACGCTGACAATTACGAAAATATTTCGTTAATACGATAAAATATAATTTACAAATGTTATAATGTAACATATTGAGTTAAAAGTGATGTTGTCCCGATTCTCCATCAAACATGATTCTCATTTAGTTGTGAATCCATTTTATAATATACTCCTTCCGTACCGGTTGAAACTTGACATTTGCTTTTGAGACGGTATTTTAGGAACTCAATTAATAGAAGAACAAATTAAATGACTTGCATATATGCCCTTTAACTTTTGGGGGAAATTAATGTTATCCACTCAAATGTAAAAGGTGGGTGAGTGGTGAAGGTTATTTAGGACATTTAATGTATAAGAACTAAGAAATTGAATAAAAAGAAAACGTAAAAAAGTAATTAATTAGGGCGTTCCGAAAGGAAAAGTGTAAAGATTTAAATCGGACGGAGGGAGTACTATACCAAGTATCTAAAAAGTTACTCCTTATATAATGAGACCATGTCTGGTGGTACACCACATCGTTCGAAAGAAATAATTTTTTTTCATATTCCATTTTGCTTTTTACCTTCCGGATTATTTGTACTTGAACCTACTACTATGCCATTATTTACACTAATTTTGAATTCGATATTTCCATTTACACTTGAACAGTTGAACCTACCTCAATTTTCACTAGAAAATTTACACTTGAACTAAATCTCTTGCATGCCTAACGTAACATACACTATAAAAGTGATCGGAGGAGAAAAAAATCACTTACTAAAAGAATCAAATCGTGACACTTCATCATTCATGTCTTTACCACCGAACCAAACACATTAAAATTGTTAACAAATAAAATCCATTTGCAAAAAATAACCTCATAAATATATACTACGTATTTCTAATCAGTACGTGTGGGCGAGAAAACAATGCAAATTTTATAGAGAAAATTATCACATATATGACTAAAAGATCATGTATTTCTCAATGTATGACCTAGTAGTTTTTTTCCCTATTTTGTTGCTTGGTTTTTGGTCATCCTACTCACGGTTATACACTAATATTAAATTCCAAGCCTAAAATGTAGGGATTAATACGTGAAACCAACCACTCCAATGTGTTTACAAGTCATATTTCGGTCAAACCAGATTTCTAGTCATATTATGGGAATCTCTGCCTCTTTTAGTATTATTGTAGTATTTTTCCCAATTTTATATCGGTTATGCCGAAATTATTTCTACAAAGAGATATAAAAGGACACTCCCGGCCTTTACAATAAGTTTCTTTGATCATTTAACTTTATTAATTTTTAAGAAACTTGAAATTGTGTACTTCCTTCGTCCCACTTTGTAAGATAATTCACGGTTTACGATGTTTGATCAACGATTCTTGTCCGCACTCAAAATATATTTAGGGAAACAAATTACGTATTCAGAAACTATATTAAAAACTTTACAAAATCGCAAAAATTAGAATCAAATTTGATAAAAAAAATTGATTTACAAATTAAGAGATTAAGAGCGATTTGTGTTGACCAAGTGAATATAAAACATAATGTACAAATTTGGATGGAGTGAGTATTATACGTACTTTATTTTAAAGAGGGAGAAAAACAATACTGTAGATCTAACAACAAAATTTTGGTTGCCCGAAGCTACGTTAATACTCCGTAATGAATTTTGAACGATAACAATTTTGCCCATGTGCTTGATTGTTTCAAGAGTTAATTATCAAAATAGGACTAAAAGTCATTCACTTTGCACAAATAGGACCAAAAAATAAACTATGTTTCCATAGGACTAATTATGTTTGTCTTGGACAAATATACCCTTATACCTAT